GAGAGAGAGAGAGAGAGAGAGAGAGAGAGACTATGTGTTTTTTTAAATGCCTGTCTGTCCTTGTTAATTAGAAGTGCACATATTGGGAAATTAACTATGAAATACTAAAAATGATAAATTATTCCTTATTTGAAAGTATAAATTAAAGGTTTAGTGTATATAAAATTTGTCATGTTTAATTGCAAGTTCAATTAAAATTCAGGGTAATGATGATTTATACAGGTTTCTGTGTAATTTGATATTCATTAGCTTAGCCAGACACATGCTGATATTAGCTCGTTAATTATGTTTCCTTTTGTTGAAGGCAGCCTTGTGAAAGCAATCTGCTCAAAGTTTTCTAAACTCATTCTGCTAAATGAATATTTGGCAGCTGTTCATGTTATTGAGATGGTCACTGTGGCTTCATTTCACTCACAGGCTGCATCAATCATACCTTTTCTGTGACAAACAAGGGTTTCTCATTACAAACCCATTTATGAAGGTTATGGCTGACATTAAAGACTGATGGTGTGGTTCCGTGTGCTGTTACTTTATGGTAACGTTGGAGTGGAGTGGCCGTTAATACCCACACCTCCCACCTGGTCAGAGTTTAAAATGCATGCAAGGGAAGACAAACTCACCAGAGGGCTCCAGGTCCTGTTTTCAGCTGGCTCCAACTTGGGAATCAGAATGTGGCTCTTAGAAAAAAGGCCTCTAAGAGCAGTGACGCAGCCGCCTACCTTAGCCTGGCAGTGGCCACATTGGGTGCATCTGTATGGTCCTTGGGGTACGCAGAGGGCGAAGGATTCCCTCAGTGAGCGGTGGAATAAGCAGAACTGTGGGGGAAATCGACATGGAAGTCCTTAGTTAAGTGGAGAGGAAGTTTCCAGAAGCACAGCACCCATTTTAGTGACAAATGGAAGGAGTTACCATCTGACTGGGGAAACACTTTGGTGACCATCCCCTGGCCTGCTCTTTTGGAGGACTATGAATATTTTAACAGGTTCTTCAGAGCTGTTACTGCACAGTCCTCACCTTGGGAAGTTGTGGAATGATACAGTTATGGAGCTGAGACACAAGGGGATTGGTTGATCTATTCATTGTCACCGATGTGGAGACTCTGGGCTACTCTGCCTGTCACAGGGCCTGTAGCTGCCAGGCCTCTCCCGTGAAACCTTGGTTTCAGTTTTGATTTCTCTCTGCCAGCACTGCCTTCTAGGATGGAGCCAGATGTGGTAAATGGTCCAGATGTTGAATCTAGGCTGAACCAGAGTCTTAGCTTCCAGCCATTGGTATACCTATAGTTAGTAGTTAGTTTTTTTTTTTTTAATGGCAAAATGCAATCAAAATTTCTTGCAAGAAACTACAATTTCCTTATTGCCATTGTCTCCACAGGCCTACTTATTCACTTATATGCTTTTAAGGAGGAAAATTTAGGGACTCACCTTTATCTCCTTGGGAACTAACTATCCCTTGTGTAGTGGGCCTTGTTTGCAGGCTGATGCTTCCCTTGAGGTCACTGGCTAGCTGTCCACCAAGGTGGTCCTCTTCTTGCAGAGTGGATAGTTGTTGCTGGGACAGGACCTTCTGGTCCCCATCTCCTCATGCTTCATGTGGCCTGACTGATAGATGTGGAGACTCTGTTACAGAGTCACAAAGCAGAAGGAGCCTGGGTCCCAGTATCGCTATGGGGAAGGCCATATATTGAACGTCAGACTGAATCTAATCGTTCAGGGTTTCTCCATCACAGCCACTACCTCCACTTACAGAGCTCATGCTCTCACTCATTCTGCAAATGCTGGCTGAATATTTTACTCAGGGCCAAATTTGAGGCTAGGGATTGAGGACATAAAGATTAAAAAAAAGATACAGTTCCCAACCTCAGGGAGGGTGGCTGTGTCATAAGGGAGCAGCACAAGTAAAAACACTCACCCTAATGGAAAATGCGTTGGCATGTAGTTTCGGGAAGAAACCCTAAGAGGGCTCCTCCTCCCCTTGAAGGGTCCAGTGGAAGAGAAGAGTTAAACTTTTATATCAGTAGAACCTTTTCTTCCCAATGAAATCATCTATGGGAATCTCCAGTTTCTGAAACAGGAAAAACTGGAAGAATCTTCAGTAGATATGGGAACCTGTAGGCTCACCAAGTCTCTCTCTTGTTCCTCCTCACTGCCCTGATGTGCCCTTATGCTCCTGGATGCTGTGGACTGTTCTCCCCAACCCACCCAAAGCCATTTGCATCTAAGGTGGACTGGGCTTTCACTGACTATTTATGATTATTGTTGTTATATAGATTGTGGTACATAATGGCTCTTTTTAATAGAGTGCTTGTCTGTAGTCAGGGCAAGTTTAGTTGGTGATGGCTGGATTGTTCCAAACTACTTTTTATAATTATGAGCTGCTTGACATTGGTTAAGTTTCTTCATCTGTAAAATCAGGATAATCACAGTGTCCATCTTCCAGGATCGTTGTAGAAATTACACAAGTTAATATACTTATGTATGTTAAGGACTAAGGGTGCTGTGGTGGGTGTTCACCAACGCTGACCACCCCAAACCCTGAGTTAAGAACATGAGTTAAGAATATTATGTTATGAGTATCTGTAAATTTTCACTAAGTAAGCAAAGGGATCCAAGAAACTACTTCCATACTTAGGGAAGGGTATTTTAGTAACAAGATCCTCAAACTTTTGATAGCTAACTCAGGGAGGATTAGAACTTGTCTTCATCATGTATACAGACAGGTCCATCATATTCACCAAAACATAAGATTGTTCTTACTTTAATTCAGTCTCCCATCCTTAGTAGTCCTAGATAACGTAACTTGCTACTTTATTTATTTTAATTTTGGCACCTTATGTCTTGTTAATGCATTTTGTCAGTGTGCAAAGCCCTCTGGTGGTCAAAGTAATTCCTATGTGGCTCTTCTAGATGAGTAGGATAAAATCAATTCCATGTTTAAGAACTGGGTTCAAATTCTATTTTTGTTCTTTGCAGGTTTGTTTTTCTTTTCTCACTGAAAATTACAAAGCAAGTATTCCACTGGAACAGGTCTCTGCAGCATTTTGGTTCAAAAGACATCTTGTCAAAAAATAGTAGTAGGAGAGTTCTTTTTATCCAGACAAACATACATTCATGTGAACCTTTTAGAGGGCTTCAGTGCTGTTGTCCCGTATTTTATTGTCATCCCCGAGATGAAACTTAGCAAGTGGCTTGAGTTCTACTCATAAATCCTTGCTATCCCCAGAAGGTCCCAAGGAAGCCAGAACTCCTCAGATTCGGCCATGGGAAGCTTTTGCCCAGGCAAATTTCAACTCACGCATCGTCCGTGGGCTACTTTGTCCTTTGCTTGGAGTGAGGCAGACAGCAGGATTTTCTTTTTCTAGTTTAGTGCTGAGACTCGGATGGCTGTGTTGAGTGGAGTGATTTGGGCTGAGCAATCACCCTCAGTTCATCTTCACCATCAAACAGCACTTCTTGGAAAGGCTGTGCATTAATCTTGACTGTGTGATGGTCGCCCACAACCCATCATAAAGATGAATGGCTGATGGGTGACCTATGCCTGGTGTCCTAGGAGGGTGGCTACCTCAGAGATGCAGAAACATCTGTTCTGCTCTGAAACTGGCAAGAAAAGCTGGCTTATCTGTCCCTCGCCTGATGCTACTGCATGGGCTTACATTATTTTTTATTTGAGACTTTGGCTACATGCTGGTGTGAAGTGGGCCCCAGGCCATTTCTTGGTGTGCCCTGTGTCGCACTGTACAATCACAGGGAAGCGGTGGGCTAACACTGGAGACTCCTACTTTACTCTCCTCCATTCCACTTCCTGGATCTAGCCACACCGACTGTCTGGGAAGCAGAGGAGCCAGAGACTGCAGGAAAGCTGAAAACTAGGAATTAGCTAGGATCTGACATTGTTCCTCTGGATATCACACGTTTTGTCAAGAGATTATTTAACTTGGTAACTGTCTGCATTGCTAAACTGCACAAGGGTTGGTCTGTAATGCTTGCAGGAATTGGACAGCATGTATAAAATAGAGAAGAGCATATAGTGCGGCAGTTTGGTTCATGTGGCTTGGTCTCATTCAAGAAGTAGGGTATTTGGTTAGATCAGTTGCCATTCTTCGCTTAGCATATATGAGTTGGGTTCTGAGTCTGTGTACTGTTGGAAGATGGAAAATAAACAGCGGCCCCCCAGCTTCAAAGAGATTACAAATAGTTTCCTTTTGTGAGCACTTATGTGCCTGCCACATGCCCAGGGTCCTGTTGAGTGCCGGAGGCTAAATCAGTCCACAGCAGAAGCTGGTGGTGGTAACCGCTGGGTGCCTTCCGTATTGCCATCGCCCTGTCCTCTGCCCTCCACCAGCACCTGAAGCCCTGCCCGTGGAGCTCTTTCCTGGGGCGCAGCAAGTTGGAAATGCTGGGAACAGGAGCGATGTACCCTAGGGAGGAACCTCACCTGTGGCTGAAACACATGCCGTGATTCAGTTCCTCTGTTCCCCGTCTCGTGGTCCCGCTCCTCTCCCCCAACTCCTGGGGGCCACCTTCCCTAAAACACTTGCACCGACTCTCTGTTTCATTTTCTGGGGGACACCTTCTGCTGACTACAAATTCCTTGGGCTAAAGTCACATTCCGATGAATTCTGCCAAGGACACTCAGAGCAGGGTGAAGTAGGATGGTGCGGACAGACTTCAAACAGAAGGACCTTGGAAGTCTTCCTGGAAAAGCTCACACCTGAATAGGGTTTTACAGATGGTGCAGGGCTCTTTGTTGGGAAGCTATGAAAGGGAAGGTCATCCCAGGCTGAGGGAGCAGCTCCTGCCAAGGCCTGAAGGTGCAGGAGGAGTAGGAGGCAAACTTGGGAAAAGCTGTCTGGTGTGGCTGTGTTTAGAGTCCACCAGGGGAAGGACAGAGAGCGTAAGGATGGCACACAGGACGATAAGTACATGGAATATAAGTTGGGGTCTAGTGATGGCTTGAATGTGTGGCTGAGACAGGTGGACTTTAGGGGAGGGCTTTGTTATGCAGTGATCTTAGTGGCAAAGACGTGTGTCTTTTGGCAGGAATGATATACACAAGAAATAGAAATTTATGAACTGTGAGGCTGTCACATGGCCTCTATTTGTTGAGTTATTCAAACTGAGGAGAGACAAGTATTAGTTTTCAGAGCAGTCAGGGAGGTGCCAGGTAAGAGGCAGAAGGTAGGTCAAGTGAACCTTGAACAGACTTCAGTTAATAGACTTTTGAAGCTGGCTATCTCTGACAGCATGTGCAAAGGCCCAGAGACAGCAACCACTGGCTTCAGGGATGCATCCTAACTTTCATTTACTCTGAGAGGTGCTTGAGCCCTGTGCCTAAAAACAGATTGAAGTTATTTTTAAAAATTCATCAGTGTAAAGATAGATATATTAATATTATATATTAAACTATTTTCTTTAGCCTAAAGTGAATTGTTTTTTTCTAAATCACAGCAGTTTGTGAATCCCCTAAAGTCTCAGAGACTCTAGGCCATGTAGCTCTGTGCCAATTTCAGAGAAGTCAGGCTTAGCTGACTTGAGGGGATCACAGGACTCTCCACCATTCTCTGAGGCTAAGTTTCCTCTCGACTTCTCTCAGAGAACTGCAGGATCTTGGCCTTAGGAGGAATCTGAGGATTTCACTTGCCAGGCCAGAGGGGCAGAGAGACTGGAGGGCAGAGTGCACAGCTGTCCCGAGTCTACCCTGAGGCCTCCTTCCTCAGGGTGTCCCTGGAGAGGAGCCAGGGGACGCAATGCTCACAGAACCCAAGACAGCAGGTCTGGCTTTTTGCCTGTTTGGGTCAGGAGAAGAGGCTGCTATTTGCGTGTTTTCCCTCATGGATGTCGTGTGAAGGGATCCTTCATTTTCACTGACTATCCCTTCTCCTGTCTTTCTGTGTTCCTTCAAAGGGGATTGCACAGAAGAAGGGTTTTATGAAATGAAGTGATATCATTCTGAAAAAAGCCTGCGGAAAGCAACCATGGTGAGAAAACTGCCCACGGTTGCTTTTTTATCCCTCTCTTTCTTTTCAAAAATAGTCAAAACACATGCAACACATACTTGTAAAAGGCTCAGAAAGGGAGAGAAAATTGCAGCTGACAGTTGTTTTCTCCACTGTTATTTGGTTGCTCTGGAGTTTCCAGCTGTTGAAATGGCTAGTTTATAATAATGGGGATATCGCTGCTCCTATTAATGTATTGTGTTTTGCTCCAAGTTTAAAAATGAACTTGTGACTTCCTGGATCCTGCGGGCTGGGAAAACAGACATACAGTCTTCTGTCTACATGATTTGCCTTGTAGGGAAGCCCCTCTTGCCATGCAAGGGAGATCATTTTACATGAAATTATCAGGGTTGGTTTTTTTTTTTTTTCTATGGGCTGGAACACATTTTAAGAGTTTTTGTTCTTTTTGCAAAGTTAAGAAGAATACTTTGATAAGTGAACATCCTCCTCTAATATCAGAGCCCCATTTTCTGATGAGTTCGAACATCCACTAGTTTCCAATTATGGATCCAAAATTGGGACTCGCATCTCTAGGTGTCAGCTAAAAATCAACATATCAAAGTGATGCCTGAATTCTTATTTTTCCTGCAACTCTTATCATGGTAGCCAAGACAAAGAATCATTGTACAATGGCTGGATAAATAAAAGGAATACGGTATATGTACACCATGAAATATTATACAGCCACCAAAAATGGAAATAAAGAACAACATGAAAGACAGATAATAAGAAAGACAGAGATAGATCTTTTGCAAAAAAGGAAGGGGACCAAGAGATGGAGAGAATGGAGGGAGAGGAGGGAAGGAGATGAGAAAGAATTAAGATGTATATACATGCCAACTCCCCGAGAGGGATGTAATCATTATGTACTACAAATACCTACTAATAAAACATAAAAATTGAAAAACAGAAATATTGTACAGCCACCAAAA